CTGTAAGTACTGGTAATTGTAATAGGCTGAGTAAATTAGTGAATATAAGTGGCAAAATAATTGGGAATAATCAAATCAGCTTAAGCATCCTTTACAAACAGAGGGTGACTAAGAAAGCCAAAAGCATCAGGGAGTGTGTGTCTCACCCCCTCCATTGTGAATTCACACTTCTCCTGTCTGGGAGATGCTCTGTGCCCCCAGGTTTAAATCCAACTGCAATTACACTCTTAAACAATGCAAAGTAACTACCTTGTCTCTTGTTTCTTCCCTTTTGATGATGTGTATGTGTCATTGTGTTGTGTTTGACTGTGCCGTAAAACAAATTTCCCCCTAGGGGACAATAAAGCTTGAATTGAATGTGGAATTACCCACTGGACCAATCAATTTAGCTTCCTCACAGAGGAGGCCCTGGCCAAAGCTTTGGCTTGCACCACGACAATCTCTTGTCCAACACTTACAGGTGCCCTAATCATAATCATAACTTGACTTCACTTCCAGTTTCAGTCTAGTGGCAAACCTTAAAGTAACCAAAAGCCTTCTCCAAACATTTTATACACAGCATCCTAACAGTAAGCCCAACAAATGGACAAGGCTGTCCCTATTTCCGTTCCCTCAGCTTTTAAAGAACATGTATGTCCTGTTCCTTAAATTTAGAAAAATCAGAAACTTAAGCCGTTTTGCAACCTTCACCCAATATGTACTGTAATCACGATCCCATTCATTTGCCAATTTTAATCTTGGGCCAAATCTCATAAACCTTAACTATGAAAATAATACAAATTCAAACTTAACCCTAACCCTTATCCTTACCATAATTTGAGACTAAACCTTGTGATATCTGTCAAATTAATAAAATTAATGATGGGTCTAGGCTAGGCTTTCCAAACTGACATGCAGATTTGATTGTTACTCCCCAGCAAAACAGGTCCTACACTTAAATGTTTGTGTTGTTTGTGTTCCAGAGACTGTGCTCTCTTTAGCAGTTCTGTTAACTCTTTCCTATAGACTGTCATTGTCTTTGACTTAGTCAGAACTGGCTTTGCTGATGGAACAGGTAGTGCTGAATTCCATTCTGAAGAGAAAAATAGAAAGAGAGATAAACACACCAATGTTTTGACAGTCAAACCTTCTTCAGAAGTGTGGGTTCACAAATTACACTTAGGGAAGTTCCCACCTTATTTTAATGCTTTTCGCACTTAATCGTGTTTTACAAAACATCTTAGTACATTGAAAACAGTACCCTCCAAAACACAAAAGCAGTCAGGTACTTATGAAGAAAAATACGTTTTTCATTTATTTATTGAGAATATGCTTGCTGATTACATTAAAAGGTTCTAACTTTAAATGACTGTTACACATATGAAGCCGAGGTAAAGAGCACATTTTTCTTTGAAGTGCTTCAATATCAATTATTAAGTTAACAACCATTAGGTGGCAGCAGTCAACTAATTAGCATAAGGACGGCAGTGATACTGAACTCTGGTCCTGGAGTACCCTCTTGTCCAGTGTTAACTGAAACCTTAATTAAACTACTGGCACACGTCCAGCTTATCATTCCCACAGGAAGTATTTGCTCTACATATGTGCAGTTGCCTTATTTTCTGAAGGACAGAAGGGCTTAACATGAAGAATTGTAGCTGGTTTTCTGCTGTTTCAAAAAAAAAACTTTCAAGTCTTTTCCAAAAGCCAAATGAGCAAATGGATCAAAAGTAAGGGCTTAATAAGCTTGAGTAAAAAATACTGTAACTCAGTTGGAATGAAAATCAGGAGATACATACAGTAGGTATTCTAAGAGAAAGACTGAAAACCACAGCTCTTATGCAAGGGACACTACTGGCAACCCCACTGGTTTACATGACACTCCTGTACGGCAAACAATGCAGAAGTTGCTGATTTTGAAAGACATTTCATAATATTGATATTGCATTGATATTTTCATGTTGCAAACTTATCCAAATAACTTCCACAATTTAGAGATCATGCAGAGAATTGTGTACATACTGTACATCAAGTTTAATGGAATGAGGAGAGTTTATAATACGGTGCCAGTTTATGTATTAAAACCAAATTATTCTGTGCAGCACAAGTTTTTTAATTTTATAAAACTACTCGCTATTGACCACAATAATAAAACTGTAGTACAAAAACATGTTATCCCTTTGTAATGTATGTAATTTATATTTAAGCCATTTTATGGAAATATCCACTAGGTGCTACAGATGCCATACCTGTAGTTATTTTTTAAAGTGATGAGGAAGTAATGGACATTTCTCTCTTGTAGTAAGCTCGCAAAACACTTGATGGCCTCATCTCCTCAGTTTACTTTAACAAGTGGGAATACCACCCTATTCAGTTTGAGAGATTAAACTGTGCAGTCAAAATAATAAAACAATTAGACTTTACAAGCATGAGCTTAAATTGGTTACCCCAGACTGACAGCCTTCCTGAAAGTACAGCCTGTGTGTACTGCAAGCAGCAAGTTACTCAATTGCTCAGAGCTGGCTGCATTGAGGTCTACATACAGAACAACCAAGACATGCTGTGGATTATTGAGGCTAACTTTGCCCAGCGTAACATAAAGTAATAAACTTCCCACCATTGCAAACCTAACACAAACCTGGGATTAACCCAAGCCTCTTAGCATTTCCATAAATATAACCAAAGCATAAATTACAATTCAAATTTAGCTTTAACTCCAACCAAACGCTCACTAAACCGTGTTCTAACTTAAACCTTATCCCTGGTATAGTTCTAAGCATAACCCTAGCTTAACCAGACCCAAACCCTGCCCATAATTAACCCATACCTCACCCCAACTCTAAACTGAACCCCAATTCTGTCTTTAACCCTGATCCATTATTTTCTTTAATCTATAAAAGAATGTTATTGTCTTTTCATTTCACCTGCTGTATATCTCAGTCTATAATATATTTTAATACAAGAATAGGGTTCTCATCTGCACCCTTCTTATATTCTCATGTCCGTGCTTAGACTTTTATGCCCAAGTTTCTTTGTGTAATAATATCAAGGTAGACAGCCATGTTAATTTAATTGGTATTTTTTTATTTCAATAAGAGTGGCTGGGCAAGCACCTTGAATCAATTAGCTACTACTAGCAACCAAAGGATCTAGCTAAATGGTTTTCTTCTTTCTTAGGTTCCTAACATTTATCCCAATTTTTGGATGAGTACACAGCTCCCAGTTGCCATAATTTTATTTTATATAATATCATTGATTTAGTCTATGAATTGTTTCATTTGTGCAGTATGATGTACATTCTGCAAGTTTTACTTTTGTAAACTTTTAGATTTCTTTCAACGTGTTTTTACTCTTTGCTCTAGCTTCTGTGCTTATGTTCTTTTTATACAGAATCAGAAGGCAATAATTATTAAGTATGACATTTCAAATTAAAGACATTTTGCAAACAAAAGCATTTGCTATTTTGACTCAGTTGATAATGTTTTCTCCTGGCTCCAGCACATTCAGTGCATTTACTCTGTCAAGGTTAAAGATGTCACATTCTTCTGCTCCTCTTTTCAAAGAGTGGAAATGAATTTACCGTTCCTATTTCGTCAACAGATTGAGTGAAAAATAAAAAAAAAACTTCAGTGGTATAGAAATAAATGTTTGTGCCCAGCTGCACGCTGTTGATTGTCTGGATTCTCAGGAGTAGCCAGGTAGAGACGTTTCATCACCTAGCACTTACTCTGCGACCTGTGCCAACAACAGAAAACCAGGCTTCGTGTGTTTGTTTCACCTCTAATAAATTATTATTGAGACAAAGAGCTATTTCCTGCTGATGTGCCACTTATCTTTACCCATTATACAGTAGCTCTTCAAACTCTAAAACCTTTCTTAAAAATAACCCTCTCCTTCATGAGCTGCACTGATGAAGAAGACGTGATATAAATCCGTAAGCATTGCACCTGCAGACGGTCTAAATTTCAAACTGATGTTTTCAGTCAATTCACTGAAGCTCTACCAGGTTGGTAAACAGAATTGGTTGCTGTTTTCTGAGTGTGATAAAAGCTGTGAGGATTTCAGAATTATTATTAAGGTTCTAAGCAACAAAGATGCTGGAAATATTTAGTTAATGTTGAGATTATTCCCGATTCTACCAATCGCTAGGTTGTTTTACATTCTTACTGTTGGTTGCAATCTAACATCATCATTATCAACATCATAACACTGCATGTCTCCACTGTACAGTGCTCTAAATATCAAAGACCTTAAGATTTAAATCTCCTAAAGATTTTAAACATACAGCGTGCAAAGAAAACATGTAGTTGCACAGACCTAATAATTGTGTTTATGAACCATTTGCTGCAAGACTGACACTGGAAAGACAGTACTGTAAAAAATAAAGAAAACGGCAACTGATCTGAGTTTACAAATTAAAATTAAATAGATGAAAACTCTAGTAACAAAAGTAGTGTTGTATACTTTTCTCTGTTTGCGTATTTGCACAGTTTCTGATTACAATGTTATGTTATTACACTGTTATTGTTATTGTGTTACTGTCTGTTGTCTTTTCTTCTGTTCTATTTATATACTGCACCTGAGTGACTAATGAGAAACACTTTTCACTATACTATACAAATAAAGTTGAATTGAATTGAATTGAATAGAATAGAGACAGACACCAAATTGGAATTAGATTTGCACTGTCAATGGCATAAACTTTTTTCCCGGAGCTAAATAATGGTCAGAAACAAAACCGAGTTAATATATTCAATAATGAGTTTACTTTTTAGTGCTTCAATTTTTAATCACTACAAATGACTAATTTTGAATACACATTTGGTTAATATACAGTTCATAAGTTAATAAGGGCTTATGTTAAAAAAAAACAGTAAATTCAACAGAACACAATAAGGATTCTAAATCTCCCAGTTCAACTTAAAACTGATCATGACACAAGTGTGCAAAACTACACCTGTAAGTATACAGATTAAAATAATCTGTCAAAAAATATAACATTTTAAGGGATATTTAGTGTAATATTGCTGATTGAAAAATCATACAGAAATGTGATACATGCTGTACAGTACAATAATATACATATACTTATTGTACACAAAGTACACAACTTTCCCTTTTAATCAATATTGTAATACAAAGGCATTGCATGTTTGAAAGACACACGTTTGCGATTCCCGACAAAAAAGTCTTTAACATGAAAATAAATTGTCATTATTTTTTTTTAATTGAAACATAGCAAAGTCATAAAAAGACACATATTCACATTATAAATAAAATCAAAGCAAAATCACTGCATAGCAAGTACAGTATATTAAAATTAGAACTCTGAATACAGAATGGATGGCATAACCTTTAACTTTAAATTACTGTGCGAAATAGTAATCTTCTTGTACCAAACATAAAAAGATCTTACAAAGAGAAAACCTGTATAGTTTGTCTTTGTAACTGAGGGTGAAATTTGATAATGTGACATGCGTTTTTTACATTAAAGCTGCATCATTAGATTCTTCAACAGTATTTTAAGACCAGTAATTTACATTTTTCACAAACTGTTACACATAAACTGTCCATTGCCTTATGGCAGTTGCAAACCACACCAGAAGTTATTTCTATAATTATATCCCAGCCCAGCAGAAACTTGACAACAAAAGTATAGAAAAAATCACCCCCCAAAAGATCACTTGGCGGATGAACAAAACCTTCAATGATAATATCAAAGACCATTTGAAGAAAAATAAACTGAAATGATGTCCACAGTGTACACCGACAAACCACCTCTTCAGAATTCTGAAGCTCAGATGCTCAAGTCGAGCAATGAGTTATCTTGAACTAACCGCAATGCAGACAGGTCTTTGGCATCTCACCAGTCCTCAGTGTTGTAGGAGGAAGTTAGAAGCCAAATTGATATCATTATTTGAAGCTCTTAGGGCTGCCAAAGCATCGACCCTAGAAAAACCCATCTCCATGAGTCTAGCTACCTAAAATCCAACAAAGAAAAAAAAGCGTCATTCATCAAATAACCAAACTGCAGAAGAGTTTGATCATAAAAAAAAGCTAAAATCTTTAACAGTAACTTCCTCAGATAAAATCAATTACAATTTAAAGCATGACGGGGTTTGAAGAGGGTGATAGTTCCCTGTTAAACTTTAATGGGAAGAAGGAAACTACTTTCACCTAATAAAGTGGCTTTATAAAAATCTTCACGTTGAGTTTTTCGCCAGTTTGAAAGCACTGCTTAAAAATGCATCTTTTAAAATACCTTAGACAAAAATGGCCATAGTATAGTGCATGTATTAACTATAACTTAACTATATTTTAAGGCTGCACTATTTTTCTCTTCAAGGATGTATTTGACATCCAGCTGAATTCATAAAGGCTATATACTTTGTGATAAAACAGTTAATTGTCAGTAACCTGACAGAAATAGGGCTAATCATGTAATAATAATGTTGAAAGTGCAGAGCCCTGGATGACGCAACTCTTTTGTTACACCAGTCACTATCATTTGTGAGCAAGCCAGCCTGGCAAGCAATAGCTCACACTCTTCACAACCCTTTGTGCATGATATTGGACCAGACACAGACCCAAAAGAACTAGTGCTCCCCCCAATGGATTAAGAGAAGCTTCAGTAGAAGCTTCAGCTCCTGTGACAGGAAAGAATGAGGGGAAATGCCCCACCAAACTGAAGCAAAGGGAGTCATAAACGACCTAAATGCTTTAAATCTCCAGGAATATGAGAAAGAAATGATAGAATCTGACAAAATGTCTGATTATTAAGGTTTAGAAGTGAACAACAGCAAATTAGTGTTCTGTTTTTATCATGTAAAATGGAAAAAGGATCCCCTTGATCACAAATTTTCTGTCGTTCAATTCTTAACCTTAATACTCAGACATCTTGTCAGATGTACTTTTACTGTTAGAAGACCTGCATTTTAATGCAAAACACTCCGGACAGTCTGAGTTTGAACTGATAAAACAACAGGCTGCCAAGTTCAGCAGAGATATTTTATTCTAAGTTCTGAAAATTACACATGCCTGTAATATGTCAAAAGTTATAATATCAATTTTTACATAGTTAAATTAGTGGTAGTACTGTAGTACTGAACTATGAAATTTCTTTAAGAGTTACTCAAACATTAGAAAAACTAATTTGCTATCCCTAAGCAAATGCACATATAAAACAGTTTCACTTGGCTAAGAAGATTTTAAAAACAAAACTTGCAGTTTTCTTCTAAGTGTCTTTGTCTGTTTTTCCTACAATTATAATTGTAATTTGTTTGCTGGCTTGGTCAAGACTGACATTAAACAGAACTATCAAAAGAGAAGTCACAGTTTTGATGTTACTGTTATAAGTGTTTTTAGCAAGTAAGGAACACTTACAAAACCCAGGCAAAATATAATTTGTTACAAAGTAAAATGAATGCTTGTAAAATAAAAAACAGTATTCCTAAACATAAATTTAACACATTTACATATTGAGACAGCTGGAAAAACTGGTAGCCACAGCTGAGCTCTTTCTAAATGTCCTCTAGCATAAAAAAGACTACCTACATAAAGAATTTTAATAAAGGCCAATGTGCTTTATCTACAGACTTCAGCATTGGTCTCCACATAGACAAGAGATGTGCCTGCTATATCCATAGTGAATGTACACAGTTGTAAGACTTATTTTAAAAAATTACTTCCATAAGAATTAACAGAAATAGGGTTAATAACAACTAGGAGGACATAAATATTTCCTGGAGGATGTTAAGCAAGACATTCTTCTCAATAAGATTAATGTATTGTTTTAGTGGTAATAAGGACCAGGACGTAAGTAGAGAAGCATGCGTTTATGTTTTCTGTAAAACAAATAAAATTATTATTGTAATGACCCATTAAGCTGAGCTCTTATATGAATTTTAACTTCAACTCAAAATTGTTTGAAATGTTTTAGAAAACGTGTGAGTGAGTGATGAGCAACAATTTTGAACATTACACTTTTCTGATTCTGAAATTATTGTTTTTGATTAAATGAAGGAATCACAATAAGACCTGGTAAAAAAAATATATATATTGGGGGCTCACAAACATTTTTTTGACTATGTATCAATCATATATACAGTGAGTATAGAAAGTCACCACCCCCTTTTAAAATCTTCACCTTTTGTTGCCTGAAAGACCAAAAAACAGACACTTCAAATCAGACTTTTTCCAGTTTTATTTACAAATTATACCTTGCAATATCCAAGTGAAAAAAGAAAGCAACATTTCTGAAAAAAAGTAGAATAACTGGGTTGGATAAGAGAACACCCCCCTGAGTTAATACTTGGTGGAAGCATCTTTTGCTTGAATGACAGTCTTGAGTCTGTTTGGATACATCTCTACCAACTTTGCCCACCTAGAGGGAGGAATATTTGCTCATTCCTCCTTACAGAATTGTTCAAACTCAGTCAAACTGCTTGGTGACCGTTGATGGAATGCCCTCTTCAATTAATTTCAAAGATTTTCGATGGGATTTAGGTCGGAGCTCTGACTCGGCCACTCAAGGACATTCACCTTCCTGTCCTTCAGCCACTGTACGGTTGCTTTGGCGGTGTGCTTTGGGTCATTGTCATGTTGAATGGTAAACCATCATTCCATTTTCAACTTCCTGGCTGAGGGTTGCAGGTTTTCTTCAAGAATGTACCTGTATTTTGCACCATCCATCTTCCCTTCTATCCTGACAAGTGCCCCAGTCCCAGCTGAAGAGAAACACCCCCACAACAGGATGCTGCCACCACCGTGCTTTACTGTAGGAGTGATGTTCTTTGGATGATAAGATGTATTGGGTTTTCGCCAGATGTACCTTTTTACATTCTGGCCAAAATGTTCGATTTTGGTCTCATCTCACCACAGCTCCTTTTGCCACTGGGCCACAGAATCTTTAAGGTGCTTTTTAGCAAAACACAAATGAGACTTGATCCGGCTTTTTTTAAGTTTCTTGCCACCCTCACATACAGGCCAGATTTGTGGAGCGCTTGTGATATTGTTGTCACATGCACACAATTAAAGGCCATAAAGTCCTGTAGCTCCTTTAAAGTTGCCATTGGCCTCTTGGTAGCCTCTCTGATCAGTCTCCTTGCTCCTCGATCATCCAGTTTGGAGGGCTGGCTTGATCTAGGCAAGGTCTGGGTGGTGCCATATATCTTCCACTTCTTAATGCTGGTCTTGACTGTGCTCCACGGGATACTTAAAGCCTTTGAAATCTTTTTATATCCATCTCTTGACTTGTGCCTTTCCACAACTTTATCTCAAAGTTCTTTTGAAAGAACCTTTCAGGCCATAGTGGATTCCTTGCTTTGAAATACACTTCCAAGCAGTGGAATCCTCTAGAAACAGCTGCTTTTATTCTGAACTTATCAAAATCACCAAAACTGATCACAGGTGGGAGCCAATTAGTTTGTTGTGTAATCTGTAAGGTGATTGGTCATACCTGAACAAACTTACAAATGGGGGGGGGGGGGTGTTCACTTATACAAATCAGGTATTTTACGGTTGTAATATTAATTAATTTCCAGAATGTTTTAGAGAACAATACGACAAAAGGTACAAATTTTGAAAGAGGGTCATGACTTTCTAAACCCACTGTATATGGAGTGGAGTGCACTTTTATTAACACTTAATGTTTCTTGAATTGTGTTCACAAACGATGAAAAGTAAAATGTTTAAATCCTTAGACTGCATTTTTTCTTTTTTTTTTGTTACTTTGAGAGCTGCTTATTGTTGTGGTATGGTCTTTTATTAATATACACTAAAAAGCATTCTATTTAACTGGCAGGACTACTGATTGAATACCAATACCAATACCAGGCTCACCTGCTCCTCTGAGACTTCTTCCCCAGCCTGCTGTGGGTGATTGGCAGGACGTCTGTGCCGCAGTGAAGGGAAAAATCTGTTCCAGTTTATCAGGCCTCCCTGGAAAAAAGAGATTCTTAGGTCAGAATGGCAATTCTAATCACCTGCTTCATTCCAGTGCAATGCTGATCACGAACAAACTGCTTTTTACTTTTCAAATATTGACAACAATGAAAAAAGTTCTATTAATAAAAATGCAGTTCCATTACTATTTCCATTACAAGCTGCATCTTGCTAATAAAACCTAATTTGAATTTAGCTTAAATGATCATTTAATATACTTGTTTGCTTAAGCTGTTACATTGTTATAGTCACTGAATGTGGCTGCTTACATTCAAAACCTTTACATTCAAAAAGTTTTACAAAATATTTTTTGCTGACAACAAAAGTGTTGTAATCAGCATAATATCAAAGTTGCGTAGAGTAGTATGACAGAAAACTTTAAATTAAACATTATTTATTTAATATTTATTACATACTGCAAGACAAATACAACATAAATACAACATAATGCAATAATCCAATTATCCAAGAATTAGAATTAAACGCCAAATAAGAAATGTGAACAGTTTGCACGTTGCAAGCAGGTATAGATAGCAGGGTCTAAAGGTGCATCTTAAGGAGTTGTCAGCAGATGCTAAGAGACAGAGTGTTGCTGATACATCTGGTTCTCTGGTTCCACCAAAGGGGTTCCAGAACAAGAGGTTTTTAACCATGAAATGTTACGTGCCAAGGAAACTTGCTAATATCTTTTTCCCCCTTCAGAAGCTATATTTTCAAGATATAAGGAATTGCACTGCTAATCCTGTATAAAATATATCCTTGGAAATATCAGAGAGACAGACAGCATTTCTAAACTGTAGTGAAAAGTTTCAGCGCTTGCCTTAGAAATAATTTTTCTTCAAGGCTGAGCTCTTTCTCAACTTCCTATCTATACAATACAAATGCCAAAGGTTTTCATCAGATAATATGTAATCAGTAAAAATGACCTAGAAAGCAAATACATAAAACTAAAAGCTTGTCATCCAGTGAAAAACTGGTAATTTCCTAACGTGAGACTTGATACCTAATAGGGAAAATACTATAGAGTATGGTTCCACAGCTTGTGAAACATTTCTGTAGGTATATTTTTGTAATCACTGTTAATTTCTGTAGGTTAATTTCTGTAGGTTAATTTCTGTAGGTATATTTTTGTAATCACTGTTAACCTTTTCAGAAATAGTGTTAGTATTTATTGGTAGTAGGTATTTTTAGTGAAAAAGAAGTACTGGAATTCAAGTTATAGCCAGTGCAGATAAATGAACAAATAAAGTTGACCACTTTATGATAATTACAGCTTAACCTGCACGGGCACAAATTTGGTCCTCATACGTGGAAAAAGTGAACACTAAAACGTTTGCACCAATCGGTGAAATTGCAAATACAGTACAGAACTAGCAAATATTGAGGTTTTACTGTATTCCACACCACAGATGCAATATACTGTATGTATTATTATTGTACATGTAACATCACCACCTAATGTGAAGCAGAAGCTTAACTGGGTTTATAAAGTAATAACATCAACTAATTATCAAACACAACAGTATGTCTCTAAAAATTGTCTTTTTTTGCTTGTACATGGCAAAGCAGGTCAGAGGAAGTTACCTCATTTTATGCTTGTGTGTGGTCAAAGGAATAGCTCCTTAGAGGCAAGAAATAAAAAACAACTATCTATTCCATATGGGGTAGGTAAAACCAAACAAATGGATAATTTTCAATTACATTAAACCACGGTCTTTTTAACAGTAGAAAAATGTAGAAGTTTCTAATTCTCACAAAAAGTATGTAGAAATGAGTCAGAACTGTTGCTCTTTGCTAATTCTCGCATATTTAAAATATGATACACACGTATATCTGATACGCACAAGATATGAAATTCCTAAAGAAATTCTAAAAGATTTCTGACTTACTTTAACAACAGTTACAAACATACACAATCTAAAAGAGAAGTATAAGGACTTCACAGTGTCAAAAAATTATTTTTTCTGTTTTTCACACATTCAGTAGCACAGTTTTTCTTAACACATTCATCACAGTTTTTTAAATGTTTATACACAGCTTTTACTTGTTTAAAACCACATATGCAAAATAAATCTGATACATGACATTCATTTTGAAATGAAATTCTTCAGTCTTTGGCACCTCCTATTTCTGGTAGAAAAACCTGGCTGATTGCTTTCAGCATTTTACAAAGAGTTCTCAAGACAGTAAGAGTGCTTTTCTTCAAAATGAAATAGCAGCATAGAGTTAATTTCGTCTGTGGTTTGTAGGATGATTGTGTTTCAGGATACAGACTTCATCTGTATGAAAGCTGTTGGCTGGTTGAAAACCATCAGTACAAGATCTGTGCGCAGTAGTCTAATCTTGCTATTATCTCCATAGTAATACAAGTTCAGCATAACTGCAGGGACTAGTTACTAGATACTGTTTAGGAAGATTGCATGCAAGATGACACAAGATGGAGAAATATCTAGGTGACCACAGATTACAAACACAAGGAAGAATGAGTACACAGCACAAGAGTTGCATTTTAGAGCTACTATGTCCATCAGACTTCCAGATGTGGTACAACTAAAATATTGGTGCAGAGGAGGGGTTCAGCATATAGGGAGAACTTCTGGAATAAAAATGACCTACGTAAGTAGGATGGGTTATACTTCAACCAATTTAGTTATACTTAACTAATGGGTTATACTTCAACATATTCATACAAAAGATGAAGGGTATTTAAATTAGGGTTCTGCTGGGCAGAAAGCTCACAGCATCATCCAGTGGGTTCCAGAATTTAACACAAATAACCATTCTGAATGGCTTATACTGTATGTTGAAGAAAGTCTTATAATAGAAGCAAAGAGAATTAAATTTAAGAACTTCAGGTTAGATAACGCTCACATTATAGGAATGAATGAAACATGGTTAGGGGTATGGAAGGGCAATGAGACAAAAAATAAATTAATGGTTATACATTGTTGAGGAAGAACAGGCTGGATAGAAGGACTATGTACAAAAACTACCCGCCCAGCTGCAGAACTGAAACTAGGGGGAACAGGCATGAAGCCTCAACAGCTGAAACATTGTGTTTCTCCTTTTCAACATGGAATTCAAGTTGTTTACTATTTTTTGTACTGTAACTGCAAGTAAAAGTTAAGGTAAATAGTTTATGTAATAACAGATGTTTAATGATAGATGACAATAAAAAAATAGTAAACACAGTATGCTTACTGAACATTTAATGTATGTGTTTGCAATACAAGACACCAGTAACAGGCCCTGTGTTATGGAAAGAGACTCATCAGTACTGATACTGAGCTTCCACAGTACTTGTTCTGACAGGTTTAAAACTAATAAAATCTCTGTGTCCTGATATTTTTCCAGTTGCACTTAAAAAATTGAGGGATATTATTCATAAACCCTTAACTGGGATATTTTGGCTGTTTCCAAGGATGGAAGTTGTACCCACAGATTGGAGAACTGACAAACGCAGAAACAGCAGCATTGAAAGTCCTAAAAATATGAGATATGGCAGGCACTTGGGAAATGGTATCTCATGTTCTTATATGCAAAGTGTGCCATGGAAGTAGTAGCATCCATTTTACCTACAGCACGGTTGACTGTGAGCTGCAGAATGCTACACATGTGAGATGTGGGTGTTTTTTTTCTCTACCACATAAATAAGTAGAATCTTATTTGTCCTCAGCAGGAAATATGGGAAAGAAAAAAGGCTAATTAAATACTTAGGTATAAAGAAAAAATTGTGGTATTTACAGTAAATCAAGGGGAGGAATGGAATGCTCAAGCTTTGTCATAACACATTAGCAAAGTGTCATTTAGATCATTGTGTTTGTTACATCACAGCCTTTATAGCCTTCAAAAGAGTTAAAAGTGGTAAATGGAATAGCCTGGTGGTAAAAACCAAGCTGTTCAAGAAACAGCAGGATACAATTATAGATTCACTTATTTCCTAAGATACCAAATGAGAAAGGTAGGCCAAACTCTTGTTTGTACAGTAGCTATTCTTAAGAGACATAACAAAGGTCATTTAAACTTGAAAACTTGTATATTGAAAATGCAAAAAAAGCAGAAGTACAGAAGTGGTGAGCATTTCACTGGTTCTTGCCATAATCTTGTGCCTTGAGGGGGACTGACATGTCATTGGGCTTCCAAGTGTGCACTTTCCATCATCAGTGTTTCATTGATGAGCCCATGACATCTCCAGAAGGCTTAACAGTGGTTCTGGCATCCCAGAATCACCCCCCTCTATATCAGCTTACTTTAGGGTTGAAAGGTTCTCTGGTCTTCAGTGAGAACCATTGGCTTCTCTTTCTGCAGCCTCTGAAACAGATCTGATAGTTAGACATAAGGACTTGCCACAGATTCCCATCTCCTTCATCAGTGTTAGATACTTACACAAATCAATGTCACTCTCTACTGGGAGTGCCCGCTCTTTCTAGCATCGTTCCTCTGCTTCAGCAGCTAACTTATCATACTGTAGCTTCTTCCTTTAGTATGTCTCATCCGCCACACCCTCCTACAGCACTGTCAGTTCCATGAAGTAGGCACGATGAAGATTGTTGGACCCCAGAACCAATACTGGTAGTCCAGTACTAGTACCAAGTCTGGTCTTAAGTTGATATCAATGATCTCTGATGGGATTGTTCGTCTCTGGCCTAAATCTGCCAACATCTTCCAGTCCCGGGCTGGGTTCAACTGTTCACATTCTGGTTTTTGACAGAGCTTCTGATCTTTCTCTTGTCTATGGAAGAAAGTAATTTGGCGAGATGATTTTGCTACTACTGTACATGGCGGTAAGGAGTAGATGCCTGTCCTCTTTCACTGTAGAGCTGCTGCCAAGTTCTTAAGTACATGAGGTATACTGATCTAAAGAAGAGGCTCAGTTTGCATCGGGTAAGAATTCGTCTGCTTTGCCCAACCATCGGTGAGGTGATTGGTGCACAGCATAGGTGGATCTGATGGTAGAGCTAATCCTACTTGCTTATATGTGAAGATGATGACTTGTT